TATGGGCAGTGCTGGGGCTCCCCCCTCGCCCTGCCAGCGTTGGGGCTCTTCCTCCGCATCTCCCTTCTCTCCCCCGTTTTTCCTGGGCTTTCCTCGTACGTGCACACAGTGTACGGCTGTGCGGGACGAGCACAGGATTTGTTCTTGTACGGATTACAAAAGAAATGGCCCTGAGGTAATTTAAATGGACTGGGTACCTTTCTGCCCGAGCCCAGAGTTACCGTGGAAGGAAGGCTTGTGTGGGTATGTGTAAAATAACTTGTTAAAAGTGATGATGGATCAGAGAGAACAGGAATGAAACGGATTAGATGAGTTGGGAAGGACAAGGCAGTCATGATAGTCTGAACAAAGGCTGGGAAGTGGGAGGTGGGCATGCAGATTCACGGGGGATGTGTGATATGGCTGCAAGGAGGTCTCTGCAGAGTCATCTGTGGTGAAAAGGATGGGGCGTGTTGTTCTAGTTTCTCACTCTTGGGATGGAAAACAGCCTATCTAAAAACTCAGTGGAGAAGGAAACAGCAAGGTATGTGTGCTGCTTGTGTGAAGAAGCAATTGAGGATGATCCACGGATTACAGGTTTGAGTGACACAGACAGAGATGCGATTAACACTGATAGCCAGTGTGGAGTTGGGGTTGTAGGGGATCTCAGAGATAGAGAGAATGTCAGCCCACTGAAAGTGTACGTGGGTAAGTAGTTCAGGAGGCAGACTCGAGTTGCGCTTTCTCTGTTTGGGAATTATCAACAGAGAGGTGAAAGAAGAAAAAGCTGTCTCAGATGGTTTTGAGTTATCAACAGTAAAAGAAGAGAAGCATCCTCCAGAAGTCTTAGTAGAGAAATCCCACAGAGATTGACACAGTGGGCAAGAAATCAGAAAAGAATGACGTAGTGGGACAAGATATGAGGTGGGACCACGTAATTTACTGTGTGTGATGGTAGTGAGGTCAGGGAGAGACTGACGGTGGCATTTTTGAAGGCAAAAGACCTTGTTAAAAAGAATTATGTTGCAAAGCAGGAGTCAGCAAGAGGACATCTCTGTTGGAGCCGATATGCGGCAGAGCGTAGGGGTGGGTGTGTTTATGAGCTCCTGCAGGGAGGCTGGAGGAAGAGGAGATTAAATCGTATCAGTGTCAGTGAAGATGAGGGAGTATCTTAGATGAGGGTGGTAACGAATGACCTCATCCTCCCTTGGCTAGGAAAGCGATCTAAATATGGTTTAAACTCTTATAACGTGATTTTTGGGATTATGATAATTATTTAATCTAAAGACTCTTTGCTTTTTTGACCCTCTTTTTTTGAGCTTAACATCTTTGTTGTCTTAAAAACTAGCGCTATCAAGTATTAGCTGTGAGTTGTCTTAGTTTGTATTCGGAAAGCTTGTGATTTGGTCATGAATGAGGGCATGAGGCTGGGCGTTAGGTGAGGTAAGTTCTGGTCCTCATTTTCCCAGTACCCTGCTTTGCTTGTGCAGAGCTTGTGCCTTCCCCTCTCTTTGTGCGTGTCCATCTGACATTCAGTTATGTTGGCAGTGAGATCTTTCCTAGAATATTGTGACAGGAGTCGCAGAAGTCACCGTCTGCAGACTATTTTCTGCTTAATATATCCCAGTTGTCCATGCAAACAGTTCTTCTGTTTATTCAAACAAATGTGTTAGTGGCACAGAGAAATGTCTGCACTCTGCTGAGCTCTCTCACCAGTGACTGGTAACTGCTGAGGTACCGGGTAGGCCCATTATTCCACTGAAACATCTAAAAACATCTCTTTGCTTGGGCAGGACTCACTATGTGTTGAGATAGCAAAGGGACCCAATGCTTTGGTTGTTTTCTTCTGGCTCTAGAGCGTGGGATGACGAGTGAGTTTGAGAAGTTCCCTGGCTGGTGAAATTTGCTCAGGCTTTGTGATGCTCTGAGGTTGGCAGAACAAAGCTGCTGTGCACCGGGCTATCGATGTCTCTGTAGGTGGGTTTAGATTCTCAAATAAGTTATTCTATTAACATAAGGTTTTACAGGTAAAGAGCCATTACTTCTTCTATGCAATAGGTCTGTATCGCTACAGATTAAGCCCAGAATGGAATCATTAACTCTAAGCAGAGTAGAGGGAGGGAGAATATCAATTTGCCTTGTGTCTTTCAAATCAGATTTCCCATCTGTCTCCTTCCAACAGGACAGAGGGTGCCTCTGCTCCTCCTGAGCTCTGTGGGAACCAGCGGTATTAAATATTCGTGTGCGACTTGTGTTGTGGAGAGCTAAGGAATCAGGAGGCAAATGAAAGGAATGGAGACCAGAATTCAGGGGATAATGTAATTAGCTGCTAGCCTTCAGCCTCTCACTGGAGGTTTGTATCTGCTGAGATCGCTGCAGCCCCTCAAATTAATTGTACATCGCATCTCTGCTTGGTTCTGTGCTGCCTGGTCAGGTAAATGGAAACATGAGGAGAAATAATGAAAATTTATGGTTGATGCTTCCTGTGCTCTAAAGTCAGGATTCTCAAAGCTTGGTTACAGTTTCCCCAGCAGCTACAAACTGTGATACTGTGGGAACACATTTGAGTCACAGAGCTAACAAAGTAGTAATGCAAAATGCAAATGTACAAGAAACCCAGTACGTGCTGCTTGTGGAAAATACAGCCCTGAGTTTATGTCTGTGTTTTTATATGTAAAATGAGGTTGCAGCATTGTTTTAAGGTTTTTTTTGTATTTAATATATTCTCTTGAAACTAAATTACTTGGTTAAATGGAAATTTGTGACAAAATGAGGTGGCCATAATTCAAAGTTGATACGTGCTCTACT